TTGGCTTCGTGCTCGGACGCCTTCAACTTTTCAACCTCAGAAGAAAGCTTTTGGTTCTTGTCGGACGGACTTTGATTTTGAGCCTGTAAGTCCTTCACTTCTTTACAAAGTTTGGCGTATTTCTCATCTACACTTTCTTTCTTGGCCAGAGTCGAAGCTCGGGCATGGATGACGTCTTTCATTGCTTTATCTTTACGAGCAATCCGAGCTCCGACCTCGTGAAATTTTTGAAGACCCTTGAAGTCATGAGGAAGGAAAAGACTTAAACAAATTTTAAAGAGGAGACAAAAAGCTTAAAGGAAGTTAGAATCAAGACTTATAAGGACCATGTGTTGGATTACTTGTCGAGACACTTCATTGTCACTGAGTGCCTCGTTCATTACTAAGTCCCCAGGCAGGATCACCCATTTGGAAAGCCCCACTGCTACATTAAAGTCCTCAATGACAGAATCCTTCACAGTGATCTCTCTCATTTCCGCCCTTAGGACAGGTCGAAAAGGAGGAGTTGTTAACTTGGGAGAGGGGCTCACTTCGGCCTCGACAATCCTCTGCCTCTTAGGGGCTGGGTCCTCGGCAAGCTCGAAAATAGAGTCTTCTGCTCGGGGTGTCTTATCCCGAGCAGCTTGGATGGCCTCTCGATCTACTGCAAGCATTGCATTGGGTCGGTTTGACACGACGATGAAAGATGTGTAGTTTGGTGTATATCTGAGCAGAGTATTGGCAGCTCGGCAGAACAATGATTCATTGAAGTCCCAAACTTTCTAAAGTTGATCCAACTTAACAGAAGACTCTAGAATCTTGTCTTTCACCATCTTTCCTATACAAGCAATATATCAGATACACCAAGAAGAGAAAATATAACGAGTAATTTTTTAGGAAAAAAAAATTCAAGTACCCGGTGCACATTCTTCATAAGGGCAACGATAAGAGGGAGAGGCTCCAGCAGGGTATTCCCCAATTTTCAGAAATAAACACAATGTCATTTTCATGACCTTTGTTCGAATCTGGAAGATGAGTGACCAAATAGCGGTCCTTCTTCCTCATTAACAGATAGTAGCTATCTCCAGCAGGTTTGATTATATAGCAATATAGAATGTCCCACAAACCAAGACTCAAACCCAAAATTTTGCTCAAAGTAGACACCCCCCATGACTATCCTAAAGAAATTGAGGCAGCACTGGAGGGGGCAGAGTTTTGCGGCAGAAAAAATCCACAAAAGGAGAGGATCGAGGGGAAATCTGATTCCTCCCTCGGTGATAGCACTAGTGGGGATGGGGATCGACTTTCTTGTGCCTATCAGTGGTTTGTCTTTCCTAGCAACTCTTATTTCAACATCTTCAGGAACGTTGTATTTTACTCTGAAGGCTGGAATTTCAGAGGGTGTGAGGGGAGCCATTGAAGAAGATGGAGTTTAGAGAGAGAAAACACATAAAGAAAAGAGTAAAAGTCTGAGAGTTTGGAAGCAAAAAGGCAAAGTGAATGAAATACGAAGAGAGGCGGTTTATAAATACAGAGGAATTTTAAAGGGCAATATTTAAATGCCCTGAATGTGCTGCCAAAACAAAGGGGATGTTACAAAGTACAAGTAATGATGATAAAAAGATAAGAAAATGGCTGACAAACGAAAAACGTCTGTCAGACATTTTCTAGGGGCAAATGAAGGGGTTAGTCCCCATTATTACACGTGTAATGACATTAAATGAAACTCATGTGAGGTTGATAAGACAGGTCACGTGACGAAGAAATCATTCACATAGCATTATAAACCGAGTCGTGCTGATCGATAGGTTCGGCAAAGAAAGAAAGAGTTCGGCTTGTGCCAAGCCGAGTTTATTAAAGTGTTTAGGAAAGCGATTAAAGGGAACGGTTTGTGCCAAACCAAGTCCCTAAAATTGTTCGGCAAATATCAAATGTGTTCGGCGTTCGATATGTCCGAGCTATTCAAAACAATAGATGAAAAGATAAAGGTTCTCCTATAACTTAGGTATTTGGATAAACGAATCAACGAAATTGTAGATATCATGAGGAATTGTTAGAGAAATATGAGCGACTTTCCAAACTAAATCACTAAATTAAAGGAAGGTGTGCCACCTTGAATCAAAAATCACGAAAACCCTAAAGAGAGGACCATCTATAAAAAACAGGAGAATCCAAGGTAAAAGGTACACTGAACTCTCTTGGTCTTCTTTCATTGGTTTTGGTACCTTTACTGACTTAAGCATCGGAGTGCGTTCGATCAAAGGACTTCGATCTTGGACAGTTTATTCGTTTTGTAGATGAGGGAAGACTGACAGATCAAGTTCAGAAGTATATCAATCTTTCAATTCCTTTAGGAGATATCTTCAATTTTTACCCCTTACAAATACTTATCTTTGCATTTGTGCATGAAGATATAAAATAACAAGATATCCCGAGTTCCATCGACATCAAAATAATATTGATATGTTGCTTTGGGGGCATCATAATTTAGAGCTCCAGGTGAACTCAGAATATGCAATCCAAAAAAGTGCAATAGTTGTCGGGTCAACGTTCATTTGATGACGAGCTTGTTCGGGTTTAACACGAAATGGACTTAGATGCAGAAGAGATGTACAAGGACATCAAATTTTGCTTTGGCAACTCAATCACTGGTAATTTTTCTCTAAAAGCAAAGGATCCAAAGGAACAAGACATTGTTCTACATTAGAGGACAAATTGACACCAACCAAAGCAATAGAACTTCATGAATAAAGATTATAGACAGTAGGTTCAGATGAATCCTTTTCATTGTGAGATCTTGCAACAATATTGTGGTAGTTTGTGCCCCATGAGTTTGGAAGAAAGGTCGAGACGAAGTAAGGGCCCAACTCAATATCCTTGGTAAATCTGATAAACTGAGACTCATGAACCGAGTAGACAAAAAGGGACAGATAACTGTATCTCACAAACCAGGGATACGAAGATTTTGGATACGCACGTGATCATTTTCCACAGACAGCGTCAAATTGTGCGGGCAAAAATTTGCACAATCATTGAAATGTCTTGAGGTGTGCCCCTGGTCTTCGAATATCATCTAATCCATGAGCTACAAAATCAGAGAGATGTTAGAGGAACCCCCGACGTTGTGCCATGGGAGGCCTCCCCATTGCCTAAATCAGTATTGCGATGAATACATGAATCTGTTAGTGTATAAAACAAAAAAAATGATAAAAGGTGTGTGTGTGGAGTATGGAGTCGAGGTGCACATATTTGAGGTCCCTTATCTTTGGGTCTTTACCCATCTTTATAGAGAAAGTGAAGAATTACTTACCGTTGAGATGTCATGCTCCTTGGGTTGATACATGCTTGAGATATGTGTCTTTGCAGGTATTAAAAATTGTGCATGACTCTAATTGGTCAATCAACAAGGATGAAAGCTTTGTGTTGTCTTGATAAGATAAATAATGAGTCTTATTATGATTCAACCATGTGATGTGGGACCCACCCCATTGATGCAAAATATGGTCTATCAGTGATTCTTTTATGTGATCTAATGGTTCTTTGACAAGTTACTTTTTTTAAAATTTGATTTGAGTTTTGTTAATAATTTTTTTTTATGTTAGTGTCAGCATAAAATAACATTGGAGTGGTAGATATTGGGTTTGAATGTTATCATTTACGAATTTTATATTGAGTTATAATTTATTTACTAAGCCTACGCGAATATAAAATAATTCTTTTACCCAAATATTAAAAATTTTAGAATTGAACTTAGGTTGAATTCAGATTAATCCACCAAACCGCACTCCTAATTTAAACCCACATTATTCAAAACGTCATGTTCACTCAATTAGCAGTTGAACCACAATAGGTTAGTGGCAACCATAGCCCGATTGGCTTGACATTCGAACCAACTTCCTTTGCCGAGAAAGTGAGATTGCTTAAAACTGAAAGAATCAAGAGAGCAATGGACTCTTGGTACTGAAGCCTTCGTTAGATGAGAAGGTGATTGACAGACCTGTGAACGTAAGTTAATCAAAGGCCCAAAATCTGGAAAGGAAATAGACCATTGTAAACTCCAGTGAAAGATCCTGTATGACCCTATGGAAGTTGACAGTCACTTGTTTGACCGTGAGTCATGGTATCTAACAGAACATTGGTCTCTCTTATGCTATGACTCATTGTACGTTCTTTTTACTATAGGGGTGTCCAATTTGAGAATAATTCGTCGTTCCACGTAGTGCAAGGAAGCTCAGTGGGCTTTCATATAAGGGTCCTACGTATTGTCCCATCGCCCAACCACTATAGTCATCTTAGCCATGGTCAACAAGTTCTTTGTGTAGGAATTTGTGGTAAGTTGTCTTTTTTTATGTACTGTTCTTTCATAGTTTTGGTGAGTAACCGCTGTTGTCTATTATTCTCATCGTTGTCATATGCCAGAAGAATGGAGCTCATCTCCTTAGTATTTACAAGCCTTATTTATCATTCACTTCCAATCTTTGGAAGGAGATCTTGAAATCCATTTCATTAAGCTTTTCAAGATATCTCTTGGTCAGGCTCTGTACCCACCTATAAGATCCATCCAATAATTTGGATCCATATAGACCGAAGGATGAAGGCGAATTGAATTTAAGAATTATTGAGTATTAGAATAGGACTGCCATATTAAAGTTTTTTGGAGAGTAGTTAATGATAATGTCACCATTTAATAAAACCACCCATCCTAAACATTTTTTGTTGACATCAGTGTCATCATCGTGGTTAATCCATTTGGACTGACTTTCCTTACCAAGACCCAGGCCTTGGATCAGTACTAGATCCATGACTTTTGACTCAGATCAATGCCCAGAATAGAGACGGGTCAATTTTGTTGATCCACAACTACTGGAGTAAAACAACCAAAGTAACCAACCCAACCCTTATTTTCTAGGCTGAGGCCCATAATATTTTTAAAAGGGTATTCTCGTAGTTTTAGTGGGAAACCTAGGGCATTTTATTAACTGCAGCTGATATAAACCCTTCCTGTAACGAGCTAGGGTTTCGTTAGCGCCCCTTCTTTGGAGTAGATACGGTCTGTTGTTAGGGTTTTAGGGAGAGAGCTGTGAAAATGGTGCTGGACAAGCCAAGCAAAGGAAGGAAAGAGGAGGTCGTCACCAGAGAGTACACCATCAACCTCCACAAGCGCTTGCATGGATGGTACTATTCTTTCTTTCTCTATATCTAAACCTATTTACACATATTTATGGATTAGATCTGGATTGTGAGAGATTTTTTTTTTGTTTTTGGGGCTTTGGATTTTCACGCTGGACCTGTTTGTAGATAGAAAACGTAGAAATTGATTTCTTCATTTTTTTTAAAAAATTTTCATTATTTTGAGATCGAGTGGATCTCTGTTAGATTGTCGTAGGATAATTTGTTGCGTATTTTGATTGATTTCCGGGAATATTATCTCACTGTTTATGATTTTTTGTACTTACTGATGTGGAGAACAACCGCTCGATAAATTCGATTCATTTTACTGACGTCCGAGAGCCGTTTCAGTTTGATCACTCTTTTGTAGTTGTTCATCTTTCAGATGGGTTATTGGTTGATTGCTAGTTGACTCGCCTTGGCCTTCAAATTCAAACTTCTTTATGTCAATTACATGAATCCTTGAAGTTGAATGAGATTCTCTATCGTTGTGAATTACTGATGGTGGCATACTGTGATAGTGAAATATAAGCCCAACAAAAAGGGAGTGTTTTGCCAAAATAACGATTTTTTTTTGAAATATACTCGGAATCTCACACATTCTACAACTTTGCCACATAAGAATTATTTGTTTTGTATATTAAAGGATTCCTACATGTAAATTATATGCCAAAAAGATAAGACTTGGCGGATAAAAGTGCCAATGGAAATAATCTTGTAAGTCCCTTGTAAAATGGTTGCTCTTGGATCTGAACCAACAGCCTAGCGGTGATAGTCTAAAGCCTATTACCGCTGCACTGGTCAATATGTGTTTTCTTGCTTGCTGACCTCACTTATTTTTGTGTGTCAAATGAGAAGGTTCATTAATCTGCTTACAAGTGAATTTAGCTTGAAGGCACTAAGGAATAATTTCCTTTCATATCTTGGAAATCATTTTTGGAGACAGAGCAATTGAAACCTAGTGCTTAAAGTCTAAATGCATCTGAAAGTCAGTCTCTTCAGAAATATGTTCTGCCTCATAATTTGTATGAACTATATGAGGATTTGTGGTGATGGTTTCCATGTTGCTTTCTATTGTTCTATCAAAGCCTAGTGTTCAGAGTCTAAATGCATTGGAAAGTCAGTCTCTTCGGAAACATGCTCTGCCTCATTATTTGAATGCATTATCTAAGGATTTGTGGTGGTGGTTCCCATGTTGCTTTCTACTGTTCAATCCTCTTTTTCAAATGAGCAAATTTATTTCATGTTTTGTTTTGGTTGTCCCTTCAATATAGCCTATCGATGTTATGCTCAAGTGTTAGCAAACTAGTTGACATATCTGCCACCACCTTTTTTCTTGTTGTGTACTACTTTGCAACCAGTAATTGTGAGGAACTGCACCAATGCTTACCTTACAGCATTAACATTATTATTCTTGTGTACTATGTATGGCTGCACATTAGTATATGTGAAGTCAAGATACTAATGTGATTGAAATGGTGCAAGTAATATTGTAAGTGTTACAAAGATATAAAAGGGGTTTTCTCATAAATTTGTAGTGGGTTACGCACTGGTAAAGAATGACGTATAAGCAATAGCGTGTGTTGCTATTCCTTTGGTTGTAGTTTACCTCTGTCACTCATTGAGGAGGCACAGTTCATGCTAGATTGTGAATATAGCATGCAATTTTTTCCTGCTAGATATTTCAGAAACCTATGAATATGTTTTTTGACATATTTATGTCTAATGCGCAGCACATTTAAGAAGAAAGCTCCAAAAGCCATCAAGGAAATCAGGAAGTTTGCCCAGAAGGCTATGGGGACAACAGATGTGAGAGTAGATGTGAAGCTAAACAAGCACATATGGAGCCGTGGGATTCGAAGTGTGCCGAGGAGAGTTCGTGTCCGCATTGCACGGAAGAGAAATGACGATGAAGATGCCAAGGAGGAGCTTTACTCACTGGTCACTGTTGCTGAAGTTCCGGCAGAGGGATTGAAGGGATTAGGCACCAAAGTCATTGAGGATGAAGATTGAACTAATCTTTATCCAGATCTGGATAACTCTGGAACTATTGTTTCTTGATTGTTGAGATGTTTTGTTTTGGTTTTAATTTCCCTGGTGAACTCTTCTCCATAGAAAAAGTAACTTGTATGGACTATTTTGGGATTTATGCTGTCGAGCTGTTTTGGATATGTTATGATCTTTTGTGGTGTGCTTGAGTTAAGATAGTTTATGGTACATACACAGATATGAATTTGTGTATGGACTGAGGCTTGACGCATTCATCATCCTAATGCACAAGTGTTTCATGAATCTATTTTGGATTCCCATGGAAAAGAGTCCCATACTCCTTCAAATTTGAAGCCATCTGAGGATGTGGTCCAAAAAAATGGGAGAAATCATACGAGGGATTTGAGATGTCATCTACGGTGAGGAAACTAAAACAATGCAGCCAAGAATTACGGACCGACATACCCATACAGCTTTCTTTACAAGATTATATTCAAAGTGCTAGCTAATAGATTGTAGACCATATTGTGCCAGCTGGTAGCACCTAACAAGCAGCATTCCTACCGCAGACAAATTCAAGACAGCATCATAGTAGCAAATGAAGTATTCCACCATCTGAAGTTGAAGAAAAAAGGAAAGCTGGCTGAGATGGCGATCAAATTGGATCTCGATCAGTTTTACGATAGGGTTGAGTGAGATTTCCTCTTTGTCATCTTATCTAAGGTTGGTTTCTGCCCCCACTGGGTTCAACTTATTTCTCAATGTGTTAGTACAGTCTATTTTGAAGTGTTTGTCAATGGAGAAGCGAAGTGTGCACTCAATCCCCAAAGGGAAATTATACAAGGGGACCCCCTATCCCCTTACCTCTTCTGTTGGTTGTTGATGTCCTCTCCCGAACGATAAGCAAAGCAGTGGGAGAAAAACACATCTCAGGACACAAATTCAAGAGAAGAAGCCCATCATTATCCCACTTGTTTTTTGCAGACGACTCCCTCTTTTTTTTGAGAGCAGATAAGTGATAAGGGGACAATCTATTTAGCTAACTTTCAACTTTCAGCAAAGTATCAGAGCAGCTGATTAACTTCAACAAGGCGGGCATTCTTTTTTCAAGAAATACTCCACATGACCTTAGAGGTGAAATTTGCCACCAGTTTGGGGTGTAACCACAACTTTTAATTACCTACTGGAGAGAGTAATCAAGAAGATACAAGGTTGGAAATACCTTTTTCTGTCGCAGGCAGGATAAGAAGTGTTAATTAAATCGGTGGTCCAAGCAAACACCAACATGTCATTCTTGCCCAACTTTCCCAAAAAAATTTTGTGAGAAGCTCAATTTGCATATCAGGAAGTTTTGGTGGGGTGAAACAGAGAATAGCATGAAGATTTATTGGAAAAAATGGGATGATCATCTGACAATGACCGTCACCGGGAGGAATGGGCTTTAGTGATTTTCAAAGTAGTTAATTAGGCTAGGGTCTCTTATTTAGTGTGTAAACTAATTTTAGTCCTGTTAAATTTTTAATATATAAAAAAGTCCTCTATATTTTTAAAAAATTACACGTGGTCCCCGTGTAGGCACGAATGTATAGGGGTTGAACAGTTAGTGTATTTTCATTACTCATTTTGCTCTTATCACATGATTTCAGCTTAAAGTATAGTTAGTGTTATTTTTTTGCATTTGTCATCGAAGATTTTGTGGTGTTGTCTATTAATTTTGAATTTCAAATTCGTGAAACAAGCAATTTAAAATATACCGGTCGTTTATCTCAAGCGTTGATTTGATAGGTTTACAAATAAGATCACAACAGTTAAGTTTTATATATTCATTGGAAGGTTTATGTACATGTTCGTTATGATTTACGTAATTTTGAATTGTGTTTGGTTTTATTTACTTGTGTACTTGTAATAGCATATACATACTTTTTTTTCAATTAAATACTAATGTACCTATCTTGTGGATGTAAATATTTGTATAATGTACCTGAATAATCTTACATGTTGTTCGTCGTATATGATAAGTTGTGTATCTATGTAAACACATATATAATAATTGTGTACCTATTGTGTTCGTTAATGTATTTTTTTATTGTATAATTATGAATGTTTGTAAGTGTGATTACCTTTTATATTTAATTTTTAATTTTTTGAGCATGGATACGTAACTCAAGTGACAAAATTTTAGTTACTTGTTGTTTATTTGTATGTGTTTTGACACAGTTTGAACACTTCTTCGATTTTTTAGGGGACGGAAGGAATTGTGATTGTGAGGTATATGTTTGGTTCAATCACTTTTGTTGTTGTTCTCAACGATTTTCGATTTTAGTACGTATGCAAATATTTGTAATGAGATAACTTTCAAATTTAAAGATTTAAAGGGCTCTATTTTTAATATAAGGTATTGTAAATCTGATAACAGCAGATGCTTGGTTGAACATGATAAAGATTTTAGACTTATGATATTGTCTCAGTTGATAAATTCAAAATTCATTGATCTCAGTGTACTTGCAAACCATCAATTAATTGATACGTTAATCGAGAACATGTCACATTTTTTTAGTATATCCACTTGAGAATTTGTGCTGATAGAGAAAAAATTATATTATAATAACGTAGTTTTTTAGAATAGATGTTTCAATTACATGACAGTATTATCGTTATTTTTGTAATTGTAAAGGGCATTACTTATATTCATTATTTTGACTTTTTAAGAGGACCTAATCTAAAAATAAATTAACGAGTGAGTTTTTTTTTTTTTGAAATCCGCCTAGGTACCGGCCTCTAAAAAAATTCTTTTCAAAGTTTCAATCAAGCACTCTTGTCTAAACAGTGTTGGAGGCTTATTCAGAATCCTAACTCATACAGGGAGAGGATACTTGAGTCCATATACTTCCCATCAACAGATTTCATGGAGGCAAAACTGGGTGGTCGACCCTCGTAGATGTGGAAAAGCCTACTGTTTGGTAGAGAACTACTGGAAAAAGGGCTAAGATGGCAAGTCCAAAAGGGTGATAAAATCGACTTCCGGAAAGATAAATGGATCCCTTCCATCCCAGGTTTACAGTTACGTACCACAGCAAAACCACAAGGCTGTCCATTCACCAATGTCAATGAGCTAATAGATCAGAGGATTAGAACATGAAAATCTACACAGATCAGGGGCTTAGTTTCTGAGCCAGAATGGAAAGCAATCACAAGCATCCCAATCTCAAAGCTTCAAGGAGAGCACACCAGAGTCTGGGAGTGAAATTGAAAGGGTATGTACTAAGTCGAATCAGGCTACCACGAGGCACATTCATTGAGGCAGAATTTTCCAAACAAGCAAGTACTTCCCACCCCACCAAACTCATTCTTTGCTTTGGAAAATACTGTGGAATGCACACACCATCCCAAGAATCAAGCACTTTTGGAGGAAGGCATGCACAAATGCATTAGCGACTCAGGAGAATCTATATGTGAGAAAATGCACATCTTCCCCAATTTATCCTGTTTGCAAAACAAGAGTGGAATCAATAGAGCACACACTTTTCACTTGCGAATGGACCCAACGAGTATGGTTTGGTATGAACCTAAAGTATGATTCCATAAATGACCAGATTACATCATGCAAGCAATGGACATCCTTTGTGTTACATAATGTGCAAGCGCTCGAGTTGATGGGAAAGATTGCTACAACTGATTGGATAATTTGGAAAGCAAGAAATGATGCACTGAGCCTTTAACCACGCTGCTCAATGGGTTGTTAGAGCATCTCTAACAAATGCTTCAAATGAGCAAAATAGCTAAAATTTAGTTATTTTGGTGCCAAAATTCATCTCCAACAGATGTTATTCATATTATGTAAAATGCATTTTTGCTACAGCGACACTCTAATTATAGAGTGTCAATGTAGCAATATGTAAACATTATATATATTATTTTCTCTCACTTTCTCTCCTTTCTTCCATTCTCTCTATTTCTATCTTTCATTATTCCCAAAAAAAAAATACAAAAGGAATGAAAAATAATATTTAAAATGAACAATTAAAAAAATAGAAAATTTGTTAGAGTGTGTATTGAAAAAGTGAATAGCTAAAATAAAAAATATTTTTTTTGAGTAGGTAAAATGCATTTTGTTGTTGGAGATGCACAACAAAATGCATCTTCCAAGTGAATATATAGCAAATTCAAATTTGACTCTGAAATGGGATTTTCTTGATTTAGAGATTAATCTGATTTTAGCTATATATAGCTAATTCAAATTTCCAGGCGAATCCTTGCTGCTTACTGGTCTTCCACACAATCTGACATTTTACAGAAAAGACAGAATGAAATCGGCATCACTTGCCGTCTTATGTTTTTTCCATTGTGTAAGTATTTAAGCCTTACTCGTGTTTACGATGTTTCCACCCATGCACAGTTCAAATTAGAGTCGCATAACAAGAGGATCTCTAAACCAATTGAGCAAAATAGCTTACTAAAATATATTTAAATATTATATTTTTTTACTTTAAATAGTAATTTTAAATTCATTCTAACAATACTTTCTATTTTAACTAACTATTTCAACTAATTTTAGTTAATTTTTAATAATATTATACAAAAATGCCCCAAGGCCTAACACGCATGCGCCATAATGATGACGGGGCATGATGACGGGTCGTGCCACATCATCAAATTTTCAAATTTTAACCAAAAATCAATAACAATTTAACCACATATTTAACTAAAAATCAATATCTATTTAACCAGAAATTAATACCAATCAATAACAAAAATCTATAGAGATGGGAGTGGGTTTCACCAGCAAAATAAAGGGGAGGGGGAGCTGGGTTTCGGCAAAACAGAGGGAAGATGGAAGTATACCTGGCTGTTCAACTGGAGTTGTTCAACATCAAGAAGTGGCGAGTATGCTGGCCTCTCCAGATCTGGTGTGAGCATGAAGGCCTCCTAGGTTTTTGCGGGGAGAGGTTGGAGATGCTCTAAGAAGGGGTAAAAATTATAACTTGCCTCTGAACTTTACCTCTAATTTTACTTTGATTCTCAAACTTTCAGTTGTCTCAATTTAATTTTTTTAAATATTAATTTTATCTCAATTAAATCTTTCTGTCAATTTCTACCGTTAGATTAATGCTAAAATAGATCAGATTGGATTAATCTCTAGTTGATCTAACGGTGAAAATTGATGAAATGATTTAATTGAGACAAAATTGATAGTTGATGGATTAAATTGAGGCAATTGAAAAGTTAAGAGATTAAATTAAAATCAGATGCAAAGTTTTGGGACTAATTATAATTTTTACCCTACTAAGAAACCTTGAAATGTAAATTTCGAAAACTAATTTTGGTCATTTTGTGTGCGTGTGTGAGTGGGGGAGGGGGTTCTACTGTATCTATTTTGGATCTGTATTGCAGGTAAAATCACAAAAGTAATCACTATCTTCTTGAGAACATGTGGATATCTGAGAAAAGAACAAAAACATTGGTTTTTCTCTACCGATCAAAGCCTTTTATCATGACCAGAAACTTTCCAGAGCAATATCATCATGGTCTTTTGAATATCTCTACAGATAATGATCAAATGCAATGGTTGGATCCTTTTTGGGTCATATTGGCACTCACATGGATTAGAAGAAAAAAAAACTGTGCATATGAACTGTGATAGTAGTAAAAATAGAAATTCAAATATGGATGTTGCAAGGAATTAATGCATGTAGTGTATTATGCTATCAACGTATATCCCTTAACAAGGGAAGGGAAAAGTTTTACAAGAGAGTTAGACTAATAGTGTTTTTAGTCTACAATTTAAAGTGTTTATAGTTATGAAACAACACGCTCAAAAACCAAGCGTGACTCAAATGCAGATGATAAGATGAATGTTTTGTCCCAAATGCCACCTTAGTTGGATTTATCATGTATTATTGTACTAGTGAGGAAAAGTGATAGGGTAGAGATAGATTGGGTTGGGGAGATAGACGGTAAATTTTGATATAATAGAAACGATGGTTTTTGGTGGAGTCCAAAGGCGGAATAAAAATCATGTACCCAACTCTAAATAACGTGGACGATATTTAGTTAAGATAATAATCATATGTATAATAGTATTTTGCAAAAAAAAAAGAAAAAAGATGCTTCTCTAATAAGGGAAAGTGGCAGCATTCACTAGTCACTCGATTCTTAGAAAATTTGAGGCATTGCTGCAAGTTATGAAGTTTTTCCAGATCAATATTTTGACTTGTTCTGGTGGGATTTAGGGCTTAACTCTTAACTCATCACTTGCCTGTGGTATCTCCGGAGAAATTCCCACTGCACCACCACCGCCGCCGCCACCACCATCACCTACTCTTCTTTTCTTACTTTCTTGTTTTTTTTGAACTAGTTGCCCTTTGAGTTTGGTCTCAGTTAGGAATTATTGCATGTTCATTATGGAGAGAAATTATATTATATATCCTACCTAATTAGATTGTGCTAAGTTTAAGACTTTAGTAGCTCTGTAATCTCCAAATTACAAATTTTGGATGGAAATTTTGACTTGCTTTCCTAAAATAGGGTTGTAATTAAATAATAGCATTCAGGATATATAAATACCACTTTGAATCACCTCAAGTAACTCTAAGAAGTAGTTCAAGTGATAATAAAGACGAGCTGTAAACTCAGAGACGGATTTTATAGTATGGGGCAGTGGGGATAGCTATCCCATGGAATTTTAAAAAAAATTGAGATCAAGGTAAAAGGTGGATTAGTATAATTTTCAAATCATTAAAGCATAACTTTTGACAACCTCTCACCCTTTGTTTTCACGCCTTTTACCTGTCTTCTTCATTCAGATGTCGGTCTTTGCCTATTCTTCACCACTCGGTCCAGCTCTCTCATCTTTCATTTCTTTGATTTTTTGGTTACTTCATTTGGTTTACTCATCAACGAATCGGCTTACTGGTTTAATTGTTGTGCAAATCAAGCTTCGAAGAAACCCTAGAAAATTAATTTGAATTATATTTTAGATTTATGAATTATATTTTGATTATATGTAGTTCATTATAACATTTCTTATGAACTTAATGACGAACTCTTAAACTTGAATTTAATTAGATAAATTTATTTTTTAATCGGCTATGGATAAGTTTTTTAAAAGAAAATCAATTGTCTCCTAGTCAAGAAATAAATGATTGTGGTGGTGATATATGACATTTTTACATATTTTAATGAAAACAATGTTGCAATTATAGTTAAAAATTTAAGAATTTAGGTTGCCCCTACCTACGTAAACTCAAACATCGTGAATTTGAATCTTGATAATCGCTTGGTTCAGACCATGAAAAATTTATTGCTAATGAATATTCTAGTGCCGGTGTAAATAACTTGTCTTTGACCTGACTGAAAAAGCGATTAGTCGAGGTGCGTGTAAACTATGTGAGGACGGTGCCCACCCTCAAATTTTTTTATTAATATTACCAATATAGGTTTGAAATATTTATTGATTATACTTAAGTATGTCCATCCTATTATATTTTATCATACCAATTAGGATAGAATCCTATTATTTTTACAAAGGAAATTTATACCCTCAAACGTTAGATTTTTTATATTACATTCTTAGGGGTTGTTTGGATAATTTTTATGGGAGAGTTTGGATTGCATTTGTGAAACCTTGTTAAATCTAACCCTTAGGTTTAATTCAAGAGATTGAACAATGTACCATATCAAATCTTATGTTTGGCAAATGACATAAATACATATAGAGTCGATGCATTCCCCCCCAAATGGATTTGTTGAAACCCATATATATGAGTTTTTCCTTAAAGGTTTGTTATATGTCACAATTCCAATCCCGAGCCCTAGGTCTGTAACCAAACATGAGACATCATGACTCATTGTACTGATTTTATTAAACCCACCATTACATACTCGTTCAATCCCGTCAAACAAACAGACCCTTAATTTATTAAAAATATTATAATGTGACCCTTATATTAATTTTTATTATTTATTTTGTTAACGTCAGTTGAATAATTTTTGATTTAATAAGCAACAAAAAAGTCAAATTACGACACTTCTAATACATTAAAAATACAATATAAAAAATTTAATCTTTATAAATATAAAAATGAAAAATCTTTCAAATTTTTTAGGATGCAAAGTGAAATTATCCTTAATCTTGGTAACTTAGGTATAAGACAAAAACTCAAAGTTAAAAAGCCATGACAATGATTCCTGCATGGGATCAATTATTGTTGTATTTAAGGAGATATGGTGTGCAAGTATGATAGTGGATTGTCTAAGCCATTTCAGGTTCAACAGTGAGGGCATTTAGTGAGGAAGGTAGGGCCCACCCATTACATATCGGCCCACAGGCAGGTCACATGGTATGAGAACATGCATTGATCTGCCAGACCCTTTGACCCCTGTGTCTTTTTCTGTGTGACCCCATTTACTTAATTCATACAACCATTTAATGCTTAGCACACCAGAGTTAAGAGTAGACACTACATTGATTTTGGAGTATCAACACAACACAACACAACACAACACAAAGATAAGTGCAAAGACGTTAGACACAAAAATCCAAGAAATCAAAGAGCCTCTTTAGTCCTTCATGATTATTATGCATATCATAGGCTACTCAGCACCAATGGCACCAGCTCATCGAAAGTAGCATTGATGTGAGCACTTTCATGGGTATGTTTCCTACCCACCACATAAAGATTTCACCCCTGAAAATTGTCCAAAAATAAAAATAAAAATTTAAAACTTTTAAGGGATTGGCAAGGGTGGTCGAGACATATTCGGGTAAACGGTAAATAATTTTTTTTTATTTTTAATATTACTAATAAATTTAATTTTTAATTTCTATAAATACAAAAATATTAATTAAATTTTTATATTCAAATTTTTGTTACCGTATTTAAACTTAATAGTAAGAGAAAGAAAGAATAATTGAAAAATTATGATGATAAGTTTAAACTTGATTTTTTTGGGGATTAAAACTAAATTTTTTAGTAACTTTAGTTTTACCGTTAATTTTTTTTTTTATTTTAAATTTTTTTTTAAGGCCTTTTAATTTTACAGATGAATTAATAGATTCAATCTATTTAAGTTGAAATATTTTGTTTAGGCATGGACTTAAATTTTTTGTTTAGACTATTACTGTACACCTATAAATTATGGGTCTTTCTTGAAGTGATGCCTTAAATTTTTTTTATTGGACTTTTATTTTTATAAGGCCTTTTTGTATGGTTTAAAATATTTATAAATTTAATTCTTTTAAATAGACTATTTATGATATTTAAAAATGTAAAGTCAAGCTTTTTTGATAACACTGTTAAACTTACCTTGGGGATTGGACTTAAGTGACAACCACGCTATTGTTTTTATTTATTTATTATTTAACGGTTAAATGTGTTTGAGTCAACTTATACACACTCAACTAATTTTTTTTCTCAATTTAGTTAAAAGCAAGTCATGTACATCAAAATTTGAGTATTTATGAAGAGATTTATTCCTCGTAGCCTAGAAGCTCATGGTCACACACCAACCAAAGACTAAAGTAAGGCAGCTATTGAGGAAGAAGGAGAGGATAATTTGTTTGGAGACGTTGGGTGCCTACCGTCAGAAAGCAAGATAGTCAGCCAAACTCCCAACCAGTAAAGAACTGGTAAGATTCGAACTCATGATATATGAATTTATAATTTGTCACTATTATCGGTTGTACTATTTTTTTTCCAACACCATTGAATTACTCTTAAATGAGAAATTCTAAAGTTGGCAAAATTTTTAAATAAAGGACATAGTTGAAAAGCATCGATCTGTGGAATTTTCCAATTAATAAATGTAACAAATTTTGGATTATTCATGTTATCAAAAGCAGAATTGAAATGGAGGCAACGGGCCACTTGGCCCCACTATAGATTTAATTTTTTGAGTTTATTTATAATTTTTTAGCAGTATAATTTATTTATTTTTAAAATTTTCGTACTTAAAAGTTTGTTAGAAAATTTATATATTATTTTGTGTTCTAAAAAACAAGTAAAGTTCTTTTATAATTTTAAATAAAAGAGTTAAACTGTTCTCGATTTTATGAATATTTAAGTATCAAATACAATAAAATAAATATAAATATATTATTTTAATTTTATTAATTAGAAGAAAAAAAATTAAAATTTTTAAATAAAATATCTACTCTAAGCGAAGTTTCTGACTCCACCACCTCTACCCATACAAAGCACGTACCTAATCTTTTCTCATCCTCCTTTATTCTTCCTTTAAAGTAGTTTTCAGCACATTTTCACGTGCATGAATAATGAAACTGAAACCTCAATCTTTTTTGTTTCACATAAAACCATAAACACTGACTTGACAACATCAACATTAAAATTACACTTGAGTACACCCTGTTTACGATAATAATACAAATAACAACCTTATATTTCGATAATACTAACACACACGAAACACTAACAAGTTCTCAACGGCGATCCACACAGACAATCATTGTTAGCAAACGACGACGCTTCAAGGTGATCGAACGGAGCCCCCATAGGAATCGGACCGCAGAAATGGTTGTGACTCAAATCCAAGTGTCCGATATACCTCGCCGCCGACAACGATTTCGGAATCGAACCTTTCAAATTATTGTACGATAAGTCGAGTGCAGTGAAGTAGCTTTTGGAGTGAAAAACATCCTGTAAATACCCTTCTAATGAATTTCTGCTCAGATTCAAAATGTTAAAACCGGTGTTTTTTAATAAAGTTTCCGGTATTCCGCCGGAGATGTGGTTGCTGTCTAGATATAGGGTTGATAGAACCGGCATTGATCCGAGTTGGGATGGGATTGAGCCGGAAATTTGGTTCCTGGAGAGATCTAAATCGGCGAGTCGGTAAATATTAGCAATTGAAGTAGGAATTGATCCGGTGAGTTGGTTTCGATTCAGTAAAGCTCGGCTCATCATGGTGAGTTTTCCTAAATCTGTCGGAATTTGGCCGGAGATTTTGTTGTTGCTTAGATCCAGGTGCATTAAGCTACAGAGATTGACGATTGAACTAGGGATTGAGCCGGTGATTTGGTTGTCGGCGAGGTTGAGGACAGTGAGTCGACTCAGCGAGCCAATGCCCGCCGGAATTTCGCCGGAGATTTTATTTCCGATGAGGTCAAGAATTCGAAGGTTGGGGAGGGAAGTAATGCATGCCGGAATGTTGCCGGAGATGGCTTTCCAGTCGGCGACAACGAGGGTTGTGAGCCGGTCGAGTTGGCAGAGAGAGGGAGAGAGTGAACCAGTCATGTAACCGGACCGGCCGGCTTTTTCGAATATCGGGTCTTCGGACTCTCCACGGAGGTTGATGTCGGCCACACGATTGGTGGTGGGGTCGCAGCTAACGCCGTACCAGTTGGTACAGCAGTCTGTGCCTGCCCATGTGTTGAAGATGCCCAAGTAGGGTTCATTAAGGGCATTTCTTAAGGACAATAGTGCTTCCCGGTCAGCCGGCGGGCAGGCATTAACGACAGAACCAACGACAAACACAGTAAGAGTGATCCAAAACAGCACAATGAGTCCCATCTTTGTTGAACACAAGAATTGTGGTATTGTTGATTTAACACTCTCAAGAGAATTTGGTAGTAGCTTGAAAAGTGCAAGCCTGTAACAAGTGCGAGAGAGTTTGTACTGAACTATGTTAAGGTGTGAGATTGAGTGTAAGAGAGGTGTTTGGGGTGGCTGTGAGATTAGAGATGACGGAGTGTGGATTTGGGGGTGAAGGGTGAGATGAGTATGGGAAAGGGGTTGGGGGTTATATAGAAATAATTGGACGTAAATGCCCCTAATCGAGGTTGTATTTACGGTTGAGGATAACAGTTGAAGGTGGCAGAGGCAGTTGTAAATACTAAATACATTTGGTTGTAAGAAGCCACGTGATGGTGCTGGTACTGGGAGTTCAGTGCGTGATGAGCACTGACTCAATCAAATGTCCGCTACTACTATAAAGTTAGGATGCCACTTGCTCTCTAAACTTTTTTGCCTGAGAAAGTTTTTCCCAAAAATTTTCGCATCGTTTTGGATTCATGCAGTGATAACCCACGGCCGAATGCAATTTAAAAAGAGGAATGTTGTATGGACTTAAAAAAATAAATTTGATAATTATAATAATTAATTTTATTATGAGTTTCAGTATTTATTGGAATTCACTATTTTATCTAATAATTGAGATTATTAAATTTAATTTTTAAGTTTATCTAATATTAGTCATTCAAAAAAGTTAAACATTAATCATAGACACAAAAAAATTAAACACTAAACATAGACACAAAATTTAGTAATTCCCTCATTTATTTTACAAATGTAATGATTACAAATAAATTAGGATTGTAATATCTTGGTTTTGCCCTATTTAATTGTAAAATTTAATTATAAATAAATATATTGTTAATAATATAAGTTAGTTACATGTAATCAATTTTGTAGGTTCCGTTTGGTAATGATTTTGTTTTTTGTTTTAATTTTAATTTTTATAGTAAACAAGAAAAAAAAAATTCGTTTGATAACCGATTTTTTTTTATTTTTCTGTCACCGTTTTTTTTTTATAAAGCTTGAAATTTTTTTTCAGATTACCTCTATATTTGGGTCTAATGGACTTATAAAAACTTTGCTTTCGTTTTGCTGTATTTGGGTCTGATTCATTTATTCCGCCATTGAAGCTGAATTTTTGTATTATATTTATCTACGGTTTCACTTTGGAAGCTACCCACAATTGTATTCATTTGTATAAAATCGACAGTCCATTGTACCTGCCTTTTTTCCATCCTCTCTGCATCAGGTTGTTCAAATCACATAATATTTTGGCAAAATGGGTTACTATTGCCACTGAATGGAGCACTTATCATTTTTTTTTGGGTAAATAGAGCATCTATCAATACTCTTGTGATGTTGTTGTGCTTGATATTTTTGAGACGTGGATGGTCCGCCTTCTTTCAAAAAGATGCCTATATAGAATGATGAAGCTGTTCTTTTCATAAAACTGATGACTTCCTTGTGTTGTATTGTTGATTACTCTTAGCAGATCTTTTGTGATTTGCCAAGATTGAGATTTAAAGACCCTAGAAAGCCTTAGAAATCTCAAAATAGGAGACTCCCCCAAAATAATCTCAAAACCAATAATAGTAGCCTGTAACTGAGACCCCAGCAGAAACACCCTCCAAATTAGTTGCTGATTTTTTTGCTCTCTGTAGTTGCTGATTTTTTTTCCCTATGTAGTTGCTGATTTTTTTTTTGCTCTCTCTATGTGGTATGAGTTGATTTTTTGTGGTCATGAAAAATGTATGATAGTTCAGTGGTAGTTTTCTTATGTTCTGGACTGGGCAAACAGACTTGGCTGTAAGCAGTTTGTTCTGCTGCTGGGATGGTTTTTGAGGATAGCTGTTGGAGTGCTGATGGTTTATGGTTGGTGTGGATTTTCTGCTTGGTTGCTATGGCCTTGCTGGCATGGTGGCAGATTGTTGCTGTTCCAGTGCAGAGGAAAAGCAGCTGAGCTATGGGTCTTACCACAATATGAGAAGTTCCTTCAGCAGATTGAGGAGGTGTAGGTCCAGTTTTTTGTGCTGTTTGTAGGCAGTCTATGGTCTGCATTTGGTCATGGGCTGTTTTCTGCATTTATGGCTGGGCAAATTTTGTCATTGGGTTTGCACTGGACTGTTCTGGTTTCTGCTTGCATTGGACTGCATTTTCTGCAGGTCTGCACTGATCTGAAGCATGGAGATGGGGTATGCAGGCAGAAGCTTTCCGGTTTTAGAGGATTTCCAAAATGTAATTAGAAATGGTTTAATCCATCTTGAAAGATTAAAACCATTTTTTGCATATTTTTAGAACAATTTGTTCTTTGATTCTTGTAATTCATTCTTTTTGGAAATAAATTTTTTTCTTTTAAAAAAAAAATGTATACAAGCTAGTCAAAAAAAAAAAAAAATACCAGTGTTTCAACTAAACAAGTTTTTTGTTTTTGTTTTCAATTTTTTTTACAATTATTAAAGCAACCAAACACCTTTTTTGTTTTCATTTTTTGCTAATGAAAATCTAAAATTGATTTTATTTTTCATTTTTAAAAAAAACCAAAATTGTAGTAACTTTCTTTCGTTTTTTGTTTGGTCATAAGATTCATCAAAGCATGTGTATTTGTCTGTAAGAAAGTATACATCAAGGTGATTAATATTCCCAATTTTGTTATTAGTATCATATCATTAGGTTTTTGAATACACTAACTAAATTACCCTATATATATATATATACACAAAATTTTATGAAAATCTAAGGGAAGACACAGGATTCTTAAAAACCAAAGGGGGAGGGGACATAAGGTATTTTTCAACAGTTGTAGATTTTTTTATGTGATTAAAAGATTAAAATATGAATCATAAAAAAAAGTCACTAAATAAAAATTAGGTGGATACTTGTTCTGTTAAAAAAGTTTGCTTCAACTAAAGAGGTAAATAGATAAATTTATTGCAGTTAAAAGATTAAAATATAAATCATGAGATAAATCGAGAGATTTGATCAATCTAAAATCATTGTTATATAGCTATAATCTCGTGCCTGAATACACTTTATAATAGCAAAAAATTGATTGTGCGACATTTATATTTTAAAAATAATTTATTTTTTTCATTAAGTACATAGTTTAAAATTAAAATGAATAAAGAGAAAATAAGAGAAAGGTAGGTGTGAATTATTGGAGTTGTCTAACATTGAAGAGTGTGTTAGTTGAATTGTTTGACGTTAGGAACCATGCAAAAAAGATGATGTTCTTGACCATTATGGTATTTTTATAGATTAAAATTTTAACTTCTTAACTATAATATTAAATATATTTTGTTCAAATAAAGCTATATTGTATTATTAATTATTGCTCATGCTTGAAGGTTTGGAAAAATAGAAAAAATTGTCAACCAAAAACATATTTGTATTTACATTCAAAATCAAAACATAAACATAGATGAGAGAGAAAATAATTTAAGCACGAGTTGTCGTGGAGTTGAGTAGTGGTAGTGGTGGTGGGCGACAGTGGTGGTGGTGGGAAACGGTAATGGTTATGGTGGGCAACGACGAATGTGGTAGTGGTGACAGTTGTGGGTGACAACGGTAATGGTGGTGGTGAATTTTGGGTGATTATGGTGGTAGTGATAACCATGAATAACAGCGACGGTGGTGGACAGTGATGATGGTGGTGGTGAGTGTGAGTAGTACTGGGCGATAGCGGTAGTGGGTGGTAACGAATGACAATGATGGTGCGGGTGGGTGACAGTGGGTGGCGACGATGGTGTGTGATAACGAGTGATGGTGATTGGTGGTGTTAGGTGTGGTGGGGGTTGGTGAAAGTGGGTGGCAGTGATAGGTGTTGGCGGTGAGCGACGGTAATAGCAATCGGTGGTGTGATAACAGCAGTGGTGGGTGGTGGTGGGCGATGATAATGGTAATAGTAATAAGTATAATAATTAGATGATGATGTTGGTGAGTGGTGGCAGTGGTGATGGTAAAGTGTTTTGTAGAAAAGTTATTTTTTTTGTACTTTTACTTACTTATTAAAGTGGTAAAACTATTTTTGACTTTTTTGAAAGTAATTAAAATAAATTATTTCAAACATTACTTATTTCTTTTACGGTCACTTTTGAAAAGTTACCCCAAATACACATTTTGGGGGCCTATTTTTTTCGTATTAAATATGAAGAGTTAATATTAGTCGTCGGATTAATTTTAAAAAAAATTAAAACAATCTCAATCTCGAAAAGTAAAAATTATTTTTTATTTTGTACTTTATTATATATATGAGTTATTATATGTGCCTGAAAGCACAGAGTATTAAAAAATATTATCAATCATAAATATATTTTTATTCACACTTAAAATCAAATTATAAACACAAAAGATAGAGACATAAATTTAAGTATCAGTTGTAGTGAGGGTGAGCGATGATAGCGGTGGTGAGAGACGATGAAGGTTGTGGTGAGAGGTGACGATCGTCGTCGTCGTGGCAGCCGTGGGTGGTAATAATGATGGTGGTGGTGGATTTTGGGTGATGACGATGGTGGAGGTAGTTGTGGGTGGGGGTGGCGATAGTGATTTGCAATGGTGGTGTTAGGGCAACAACGGTGGAGATGGCAATGGTGGTAATATGTGTGGTGGGGGTGACGACAGTGGTGAGTGACGATGGTTGGGGGTGGATAGTGGGTGTTGGTCAACAATGATGATTGTAGTGAGTAGTGGCGATGAGTGACAATGGTGGGCGGTGACAATAGTGGTGGTGGGCGACGATAGTGATGAATGGCCTTGGTGGTGGTATGTGTGGTTGTGGTGGGCGGTGGCGATGGCAATAGACGGCGGTGCTAGCCATTAGTGGTGGGTGATGATGGTGGTAGGTGGTGACAATGATGGTGGTGGTGGTAGTGGTGGGGTGATGTCAGTGGTGGTGGTGAAGTGTTTAGTAGAGAAGTGATTTTAAAAAAATAGAAGTTAATTTTTTATTAGTTTTACTCACTTATTTAAGTGTAAAACTACATTTGACTTATGCGGATGTAATTAAAATAAGTTGTTTTAAACATTATTTTTTTAAAGTACTTATTAGAAGTTATAAGTTTTTAAAGCAATGTTGAAAAGATACACCAAACCTTTAAGGGGTCTATTTTTCCTATTAAATTTAGAGAGTTAATATTAGCCGTCGGATTAATTTTATAATAAAATTTAAAATGATGTCAACCTTAAAAAATAAAATTATTTTATTTATCTTCTGATATTTGAATTATCTTCTAGTTTATTATATAGGTATAGACCATAAAACACCAAGTTTTTATAAAATCAAAACTTG